TGTATTTTATTAATTGAATTAATCAATGACCTATCATGTTTTGGCAATTTGTGAAATATATCCTTTGATTTGTAGAATATGACTTAAAAATAGGCTACCTTAATGAGATTAGTAGCCTACAACTGACTGTTTACCTTTATCATAGCTAATGATTAGCCTTGTTGACGCGACTCATGTGACTCACATTGTGACAGGAGGACTTCAAGTTAGGTATTAGCCAGACTAGCTAAGAATATCATCATAACCCAGAAAAGGTTATTTTTTACCACTTGTAAACTACTGAACCTTGATGAAACTGATGAGGATAAACATCTGACAACATTGTAACTCTGTCACACATTAGGCCACCAATCTCACATAATCCTACATGAATTGCACACACATTATAGGATAATATACACTCCCCTATGTATTTATTTGGCTCTATACTCCAGCATTTTGTATTTGAGATCAAATGTTTATATGAGGCGACAGTACAGAATGTCACATATTATTCGAGGGTACTTTCATACATATCTGTTTTACAGAATAGAAATTAATGTACTTTATGTACAGTATCTAGTCCCAAACTGTTAAGGTGTTATAAGTATTTGGGACAAATTCACTTATAGTGTATTACATTTAGTCAAAAGTTTAGTATTTGGTCCCATATTCCTAGCACGCAATGACTACATCAAGCTTGTGACTACTGTTTTGGTTGTGTTTTGGATTATGTAGTGCCCAATAGAAATGAATGGTAAATAATGATAGAATATCTTTCTGAACACTTCTATATTAATGTGGATGCTACCATGATTACTGATAATCATGAATGAATTGTAAATAATGATGAATGAGAATGTTACAGATTCCCAAAGATCATGCCCACAAAACACGCTAACCTCTCACCATTACCAATAACAGGGGAGGTAGCATTTTTTTGTGGAGTATGATATTTATGCCTCTAACTCTACCATCCACATTAATGTAGAAGTGTTTTATTTACAATAAAAGTGACAATACATTATCTACCATTAATTTCTGCACAACCAAACCCCAAAATACAACCAAAACAAACTGTAAATGCGTGCTAGGAATATGGGACCAAATACTAAACATTTGACTAAATGTAATACACTATGAAGTGAAGTTGTCCAAATATTTATGACACCTTCAAATGGGGGGACTAGATACATAAAGTGCTTTACATTTCTAAACACTAAAACAGATATGAAAATACCCTCAAATAAAAGGTGACATTCTGTACTGTGTCTGTTTATAGGCACTAAACTCCGCCATGGTTCGTTGGACAAAGCCTATGGGAAGATTAATGGAGTTTTTGTAGAGTTTTTGGATAAACACCGAAAATAAAGTCTGTGGTAAACACAGGCTTAGGAGATCTTATACGTTTTGTTCAATGAGATAATATGAATCAGCTAACGTCACTTTTTGTAAATTTTAAAGCATTTCTGTAATTACAAAAAGCACATAAAGCACATAAAGGCTTGATAATTCATAAAGGTCATGTTAACTGACTGCTATTATCTCATAGAACAAAACATATAAGATCCCCTAAGCCTGTGTTAACCTCAGACCTTATTTTTAAAGTTTATCCCCAAACCCTAGTCTTTCCCCATTAATTTTCCCCATAGGAATGGCTGAACGAACCAGATGTAACTCAGTTCTGTTTTTTTAGGACTACAAGCTGGCAACCTCTATTGTAACGATCTTTACCATTTATTTAGTTATTGACTGCTGTCAGTGTTGATATCCTCCATCGCCGCCAAACAGATTAGTGCCCAGTTCACCTCGGGCCCGCCCATTCACACAAAAAAAAAATCTCAAGAGTTGGTTCAGATTTTACAAATTATTACTGTAGCCATGCGGTAGGGCTAACGTCAAAACTTGTGATAAAAAGCCTTGGTCTTCATGTTACATATCAGTAGATAGGATTATTTAGGCTGCATAAATGGATTTTCATTGCAGAACAGAGATGAGATGACCACCAACTATGCTGAGGCCTACTGACTGTGAGTAGACATTTTGTATAGTAGCCTAGGCCTATGGGTCCACAAAATGCAAAAAATACAACCAGTATGATGCAGATAAACTTCAGTGAACTATTGACAAAGACATTTACAAAAACATATACTGGAGCAGATCAGCATATTATTATTACAGCAGGTCGCTGTTATAATAATACTGTGAAGTGTTTCGACCGAACAGGTAGGCTATTCCTCAGGCAGCGTTGAGGGTGGGAGTGGACGTGCTGCCAGAAATACAGGTGGAGGTGTAGCCGACTAAACTCAACTCCACGATTTACGATGGAGTTGAGCGGCGACTAATGCGGACTGGAGCTCTGACATCACTTAAAATAAACAATGTTGTGTGTAATTGGGGGCAATTTTTGGGGTGCTGAAATCAGTAGTATTTTATGAAAAACTTCAGATCTCCAGTCCGTCCACACTAGTCGGCGCTCAACTCCATCGTCAATCGTTGAGTTGAGTTTAATCGGCTAGTGGAGTTGCAGACAGTATCACATGACAACATCAATAACTATAATCTAAATATATAGAAAAGTTCAAATTGATATCTTATTTTATCACTCCCCTCACAGCTTTTTAATGTGCTTGCATACAACATGGTAGGCCTAATAACTAGCCTAAAAACGGCCCTGCTACACTACAGCCATCGGGCGTGCGGCATTGCAATCAGCCATCAGCCATTGAGGGAACGCTTCCTTTGAAATTAATGAAAACTACTATACTGCTCGCGTTGTGTCACATCCAATGGCAGCGTCCAAGCTCAAGAATCGCTGAGGTTCAATTCTCGATGGCTGACCCGCGCATTCATTCTATCTTGTGAATGGAAATAATGTTTTTTGTTGTTGTGATTTTGGTTGGTTTCTGTGTAGCAGGTAGAACGTCACATTGATGGCGACGTGTAGTGTAGCTGAAGTGTAACTTTGTGTACTCTATGAAAGATCAAACACATATCCCATCATCATTACATAGGAGTGTTAATTGAACCATCATGGGGCTTGTAAGGGTTTCAGAGGATTATCTTGGTGGTATTTAACACTCAGGGGCAGGACATGGAGCTAATTGACACTAAAGCTTCCTTTCTTCCTGGCCTTAGCAAAGAAATGAAACCTATTAGCCCAGCTAGAGGCCTCCTCTGTTATTCATTCAGTCCAGACAGCACCATGTTTACTCAAATCAGCAGCTTTTCTCTATGTGAAACATAATCTTTTTCAGATTCCACAAGATTGATCTACATGAGTCCAAGATCAAGATGGCAGAGTCATGAGGTATGTATTTCTGTGCACAGCCCTTATATAAATTGCCTTTAGGGTGAACCTGAGAGGGGGTGGGTGGGTAGTTTATGATCAGCCTAGGCAGGGGTTAAGCTTCATTTAATGTCCCTGCATGTTCTGTGGGTGAGTCAAGGTGACAGCCAATCCCCTGCTGTCCGTGTATCCTGATTCCCAGACAGTCAGTGGAGGAATGTCACACTCTGCATCTGTCCCTGTCCCATCCACTTCCTCTCACCAACACTTTGATGGCCAGTAACACAACAGTTTGACAACGTTTTTTAAATGGACAGGTTAATGGACAAGTTTAATGTTTTTCAACAAAATAGCATATAATAGAAATAATCTCTCGGAAACTCTAAAATAATAAAAAGTCATAGATACTCATAAGATTATTGTGCTCTGGGAAATTGCAATATGGTCCACAGAGAAAAGTATGATATATTGACTAAATGTTATCACCAGGAAGTAGCCAACATCTCTGATTTAACATAAAATTAAAACCCAGCAAATAATCCAAGCACTTTGTCTGCCATAGTAGAATAACATATTTTAGCCAGTTGGATTGAGGGTTTTAGGCAGTCTCACTCAAGAACCTCCAGTCCCACACTTCCTTCTTGTGCTCATTCACCCATTCGATATGCAGGTAAGCGTTTTTCGTCATGAATCTTGTTCTGAAGGCAGCTCTGTAGGGTTCAGTAGTGTTCACAAGTCATAAAATCTGATTTTAAACCTAACCCTAACCTTAAACCTAACCTTAACCACACTGCTAACCCTAATGCCTAACCCTAACCTTAAATGAAGACCACAGAGTAAAAAAAATAATAATCATTAATTTCTTAAATATAGCCAATTTTGACTTTGCAGCTGGCCCATCTAGCAGAAATCGCTCAGTTCTGCCTCCAGGACAAGACTCATCACAATAAACGTCAAGTAGTTCTCTTGATGGCCTGCTCCAATGCCAAAGTCCCTGAGCCAAACCAATTTCAGAGTTGTCCTCCTTGAATTTCTGGAGCTGACATCATGAAAAACAAGGTTACATAATGCTCTTAGTGAGTATTTAATCAGTACAATTCTTTATAATTAAAGACATATATGAACAGTGCAGCTAATGATTAACTTTCAACATTACTGGAGATGTAAACGATGACAGACGTTGCATGCGGATTTTGTCACAATCTAAAGTGTATACCAGGTACCTGTACTGAGTCCATCGAGTATTGATAGAGATAGACAGATTGTTATGATAGACTGTATTTGTCAATATGAAGAAAATGGAAAGTCAAAACAGTAGTTCAACATGATCTTTCTAATAGTACCCTAACAAAATAATCAAATGTAACCTACCTATTCAGAAGTTCATGGTCCTTAGTACATGCCAGAGATGGCATCGGTTTGTCTGCTTCACTAGCAGTGGTGGCATTTTTGAACATGTTCCAACCGAAATCCCGCTCTGCAGCCCCGCCTGCTGCCATGTCACTGCAGTACACTGTCATCCTCAAATTAGGATGTGTCCTGATATCAAATGTTTTATAATAATAATAATAATAATATGCCATTTAGCAGACGCTTTTATCCAAAGCGACTTACAGTTTTAAGTTGTTATTACAGGGTAGAATTCTTTGTTGTTGAAAACAGAGCTAAAAAATCAAGTTATAGTATTGGCTAAATTATGTATACTTCCTATAGTTTATAAATGAATAAATAATCACAGGTTGTTGTCAGGGTCAGCCATCCACTGACTGTACCAGCCTTTAGTCAGATTCGGACACTCCACCACTCCAGTGTCATCCTAATGGCATTCACCTGGTTGTACCTGGTTGTGCCTGATGTTATCATAAAGCCATATACTCCTTTCAGACCATACCAAGTAGACCATGCCTTGGGTCATTCCACTCACTGGTCTGTATGTCCATCAGGCACTTTAGTCCAGTCTGAAGTAATAGTCTTGAAGTGTAGAAAGAAAGAGTGTCACTAGATTCCTCACATAATCCAATGACAAGAAGAGAGAATAAGATACTATATATGTATTCAAGTATGATCAGTATTTTCTGTCTCAAAATATCTTATATGTGTAATTGTCACAAATTATATGACTGACATTCTACCTGCATAGTCCCATAGTTATCCAGAGCCAACTCCAATGGCATGCATTCCTTTTCTTTGCAGAGATATTTTGTGGTTCTCAGAGCTAATGTTGTGGCAATGATTTTTGCTCTGTAGAAGGGAAGACTGGTTAGAAATGCAATCACCAAAATAGGATGCAAACATCTGTTTTGTGACATTTGTGGTGGTTCAAAAACGTCAAAACCCTAACCTTGCCAGATTAAAAGAGTCATCCACAAAATGTGAGCTGTTTATAAGTGGAATGACCTGGAAGAAAAAAATCAGACTCCATCAGTGTTGTATTCAAGCAAAATAACATGGGCAGTAATACCCTTCAAACGTAATCTGATGATTACATTTTTATTTTTACCTGATGAATAGCGCTCAATTGGAAGAGGAGATGTTCCCACTTGCCAAGGTTGTAGTTAACCCTGTAGTATCCAGTCACATTGAGGTTGGCTAGTACCCACTGACCACTTGTCAAGTTAATGCTTATAGCTGAGGAAAATAATATAATGCATGACAATGAAGATACCGATAGTAGATCAAACCTGCATGCTATTTTATCAGATTATTTTATGTTTTTATATTCGTCCACAGTCTTCTACAGAGGACGCTAATAAACAGGCTTCCTGTATCTGTACCCTTTTTCTCAAGCTGCCATATTTATTTCTGAACCACTCCTGCCTCCATCCACTCATACCTAGTCACCAAAATTAATTATTATATTATTATTGTTATTATTATTATTATTATTATTATTATTATTATTATTATATTATTCATACATACTGTATGTAATAGATGAAAATGCTGTAAACATTCTCATGACATATAGTGCATTCGGAAAGTGTTCAGACCCCTTGACTTTTCCACATTTTGTTATGTTACAGCCTTATTTTAAAATTGATTAAATAAACATTTTTCCTCATCAATCTACACACAATACCCCATAACGACAAAGTGAAAACAGGTTTTTAGAATTGTCCGTAGAGCTCAGAGACAGGATTGCATCGAGGCACAGATCTGGGGAAGTGTCTGCATTATTGAAGGTTATTATTGAAAAAATGTCTGCATTATTGAAGGTCCTCAAGAACACAGTGGCCTCCATCATTCTTAAATGGAAGAAGTTTGGAACCACCAAGACTCTTCCTAGAGCTGGTCGCCCGGCCAAACTGAGCAATCAGGGGAGAAGGGCCTTGGTCAGGGAGGTGACCAAGAACCCGATGACCACTCTGACAGAGCTCCAGAGTTCCTCTGTGGAGATGGGAGAACCTTCCAAAAGGACAACTATCTCTGCAGCACTCCAACAATCAGGCCTTTATGTTAGAGTGGCCAGACGGAAGCCACTCCTCAGTAAAAGGCACATGACAGCCCACTTGGAGTTTGTCAAAAGGCACCTAAAGTCTCTCAGACCATGAGAAACAAGATTCTCTGGTCTGATGAAACCAAGATTGAACTCTTTGGCCTGAATGCCAAGCGTCACGTCTGGAGGAAACCTGGCACCATCCCTACGGAGAAGCATGGTGTTGGCAGCATCATGCTGTGGGGATGTTTTTCAGCGGCAGGGACTGGGAGACTAGTCAGGATCGAGGGAAAGATGAACGGAGCAAAGTACAGAGAGATCCTTGACGAAAACCTGCTCCTCCAGACTAGTCAGACATACTTGAATTCAGATGGTGGTACAGTCCACACAGAATCAGGGTCCAGTAAGAAGTGCTGCTGGGAGTTCTGTCTAGTGGCTGTATTTATGGTGACCACTGGGAAGCCCATCTGATAGACCCAGCGGTTCATGATATCATGCACTGTACCAGGAAGCTCCATGCCACTGGCATCTACTGCCTAGAGAGGAAGATAAGACACATAGGGGAACTACTAGAGAGAGTAGTATGTTCCCTGAACCATTGGAGGGCATCATTTTCATTATAATACAGGAGTCCACATTCTCATTGATATGACTATAAATGGAAAATATTAATGTGGGCTCGGTCAGTATCATTTGCTGCTGTAAAGACAAACATAAAAACGGAGGGAATCTGTAGTGCTGCTATAGTACTGTCATAATCATCAATTTCAACAGTACACACGAATTAGCTGAAAATAGGAATAGACCATGCACATTATTGATTGTTTCTAAGGAACTTACCCGTTATAGATGATACTAAAGAGTTGTCCCCACCGTGTTATCGTAGACAAAGATATTCAGGTAGCTCTAGAGAAAAATATGTATTCTGCACTGTAACGTAACAAAATGTGGAAAAAGTCAAGGGGTCTAAATACTTTCCGAATGCACTGTATATAGTTATTGTTGATACAAGTTCTGAATGATTTGAAGCTAGGATAGCCTGAACATGTGAAAGTTGGTTTGGTGTCTCTAGCTTGAACGGTTCAATAATTACTGTTGTTGGGTTATATTATGCTAATTTATGCACAATTATATAGTTATTAGTTTACAAAAGTTTAAAATAATTTGAAGTTAGGGTAGCCTGAACATATGACAGTTGGTTTTGTGTATCTAGCTTGAACGGTTCAATAGTTACAATTATTCTTGGTATTAATGATATGTTCATTTATGTACATTTAAGTAGTTACAATTTATAGCGCACACCAGAGCTAGACCAGAGATAGTGAAGACCAGAACAGTAGTTGTGGTCAGTAGTTGTGGTCAGTAGTTTTGTGGTTTTGGTCAGTAGTTGTGTGGTTGTGGTCCTTAGTTTTGTGGTCAGCAGCTGTGGTCAGTAATTGTTTAGTAGTGGTCAGTAGTTTTGGTAAGTAGGTGGGTGGTTCAGTAGTTTTGGTTAGTAATTGTGTGGTTGTGATTAGTAGTTGTGGTTAGTAGTTGTGGTCAGTAGTGGTCAATAGTTTTGTTCTCAGTAGTTGTGGTTCAGTAGTTGTGGTCAGTAGTTGTGTGTTTGTGGTCAGTAGTTGTGTGGTTGTGGTCAGCAATTGTGGTCAGTAATTGTGGTCAGTGTTTGTGGTGGTTAGTAGTTATGGTGATTAGATGTGTTGCCAGTAGTTGTGTGGTCAGTCGTTGTGTGGTTGTTGTCAGTAGTTGTGTGGTTGTGGTCACTAGATATGGTCAGCAGTTGTGTGGTTGTGGTCAGAAGTTGTGTGGTTTTGGTCAGTAGTTGTGGTCAGTAGTTGAGTGGTCAGTAGTTGTGTGGTTGTTGACAGTAGTTGTGTGGTTGTGGTCAGAAATTGTGTGGTTGTGGTCAGTAGTTGGTGTGGTTGAGGTCACTAGATGTGGTCAGTAGTTGTGTGGTTGTGGTCAGAAGTTGTGTGGTTGTGGTCAGTAGTTGTGGTATGTAGTTGAGTGGTCAGTAGTTGTGAGGTCAGACGTTGTGTGGTTGTGGTCAGACATTTTGTAGTTGTAGTCAGAAGTTGTTTGGTTGTGGTCAGTTGTTGTGGTCAGTAGTTGTGGTCAGTAGTTGTGTGGTTATGGTCAGTAGTTGTGTGGTCACAAGATGTGGTAAGCAGTTGTATGGTTGTGGTCAGAAGTTGTGTGGTTGTTGTCAGAAGTTGTGTGGTTGTGGTCAGTAGTTGTGGTCTGTAGTTGAGTGGTCAGTAGTGGTGAGGTCAGAAGTTGTGTGGTTGTGGTTAGACGTTGTGTGGTTGTGGTCAGCTGTACCGTAAGATCCGTAGCGAATATTTTGGTTCCGCGAACAGATATGAATAGCAGAGAAGCAGAGGAAGATGCCATACCCTCTAACCTTTTGTCTAACTTGTTGGGGTAGTGGTTAAATAGGTAGTTGTTTGTAAATAAGTTACAGAAAATGTTGTTGATGCGGTAACTAAAACAGCTATATTGTTACATCTGTACTGAATATTTCTGTTATTATTTCAGATTTGACAAGCAGAGAAGTAGGGAAAGATTTCATACCCTCTTTGTTTTTGTCTGACTTGTTGGGTTAGTGGTCAAAACGGCAGTTGTTTGGAAAACGTTTGGGCAAAATGTGGTAATGCAGGTACTAAAACAGCTGTACCGTAAGATCAGTAGCGAATATTTTGGTTCCGTGAACATATATGAATAGCAGAGAAGTAGAGGAAGATTTCATTCCCTCTAATCTTTTGTCTAACTTGTTGGGGTAGTGGTCAAATAAGTAGTTGTTTGCAAATAAGTTACAAAACATGTTGTCGATGCGGTAACTAAAACAGCTATATTGTTACATCCGTACCGGATATTTCTGTTATTATTTTAGATTTGAATAGCAGAGAAGTAGACCAATATGTCATACCCTCTAACTTTTTGTCTAAGTGTAAGTAGATGATTTGTGTCAAAAGTGATATTTTTGCATTGACAGTGAATAGCAGTTGGAAGTGATGATGTCACAATGGGGAGCTTTAGAATGTTGAGGAAAATGACATTAAAGTGAATGAAGTATTGTCAAAAATAAGGACAAAAAAATGAATAACTTAAAAAGTATAAAAGACATCAAAAAGTTGTATACAAGCAACTCGTGTGAGATCAGTTGGTAGAGCATGGCGCTTGCAACGCCAGGGTTGTGGGTTCGATTCCCATGGGGGGGCCAGTATGAAAAATGTATGCACTCACTAACTGTAAGTTGCTCTGGATAAGAGCGGCTGCTAAATGACTAAAATGTCAATGTTTTGAAGTTTGAACAGTGTTTCTAGCTTAAACAGTGTAGGAGGAGTAGCATGCTAAAGAAGCAGAAGCAGAAGAAGCAGAAGCAGAAGAAGCAGAAGAAGAAGAAGAAGAAGAAGAAGAAGAAGAAGAAGAAGAAGAAGAAGAAGAAGAAGAAGAAGAAGAAGAAGAAGAAGAAGAAGAAGAAGAAGATTGAAGCTGGGGCTTTTGCCATGCAAGCCCGACAATAAGAAGAAGAAGTATATAGAAGATTTACAATGGGACGTTTGCTTCGCAAGTCCAATAATTACAGTGCCCTGTAACTATTCCTGTAATTACAGTGTAACAAGAATTGTAATATCTGTATTGTTATATCTAATGTCATTTTTACACTGTCCTTACTCTGTAATTGGGTTAGGTCTTAGGTAAGGGTTAGGGTTACTGCTGTAAGTACAGTGTAAGTGCAATGTAATGAGTAATTACAATACTTGTTACACTGTACTTAGATGAGTAGTTACATTACAGTGCCCTTATTACTGTGTACGTTTTACCATAACAAGTGTCTAGTTGACACTATATTTAATCAAATATGTTTGTCCAGTGACTATTTCAGAGTGCTAGTCCTCTGATTATCATATCATTATTTATTTCCAGTCATGTAAACGTCCATAAGAATCAAAATTACACCATTAGAAAATGCAGTGTAAAACAATTGCATTTATTATTTCCACAATCATAAACCACAGTGTTTCATAGCAAAGCAGCATTTTACAAAGTTAGTGCCTTAAAATGTCTACAAATATTAAGAGTATTGACTTAAGCTAAATATGTTATGATAAAAATGTACTTCCATAAAAAGTTATTGATAGAAGAATGATATTTTAATTCATACAAAGATAAAGTTATTTCCAAAAAAATAGAAGTATAGGCCTACATAGTACTTCTGATTAAGGGGCAGGATAAATAGGGGGCATGATAACTAGGGGGCAGGATAACTAACTGTTAGATAGACAAAAAATTCTCATCAAAACAGGGAACATGGCTTTAGGATTGGTCTTGGATAATAAATAAATGGACTGGTGTTTGTTTCTCCATGTGACCATTATGGTATATCAGCATGTGCTTTAAACCATGCCTGCACTGAGTTCCTGTTCTCCGCCACCCATTTGATGTTAGCTGTTGTCCTCTCAATGTCCTGTGAAACTGCCAAGGTACCTGAGCCGAAGCCAAGCTCAGAGTTGTCTGCCTGGAACTGCATGAACTATGACAGTGAATAGAAACCTCAATATTCAGGGTCCACATAGTATCCCAATACAAACATGATGAGCAATATGTGCTGACAAATCCCCTAATCTGTCATATTACCTGTTTGAGCTCAAATTCAGTTGAAAACCTCTTGGTCACACCATCGATGAGATTGGAGAAGGAGAAAGAACCACCACCGTACCTATGACAGAAGAAGAGGTCAAGTTAGAGAACCGCATCTAATGAAGAATTAGATCAAATATCAGTGTACCAAATGTGACAAATAATTACTTTGAAATGAAACAATCAATACAATATGTGTTAAAAGCTCAAACTCACTGAGTAAAGATGCAACCCCATCTGTCTCTCATAAAGTCCCAGGCCAGAGACTGGCCGACAACATTGCTTGCAATGTAAACAATGGTAGAGGTGACATCCTGCTTGCGGATTTTGTTTGCATCCAGGGTGTAGTCCAGGTACCTCAATGTGGCAAGGAGGTACAAAGACAGTATGAAGCATTGAAGCACCTCATATTAATGTCAGACACACTAGTCTCTTTAAAGCACTCCTTGAAAATGTCTCCTTTTTATGCCAGGCAGAGAATCAATGCTTTGCTGTTTATTGAATACTCTCTGATGCTTAGGGGAGGGATAATCACAGATCACATTCACAAGGAGGATATTTGACCAATGTGGCATGGATACGTAGCACTCTTAACTCACTTGTTGAGTAGCCAGGGCTGCTTGGTACAGGCCAGGGCAGATCGAAGCTTGTCTGCCTCAATAGCGATGCTGGCAGCCTCGAACTGCTCCCAACCAAATTCCCACTCTGCAGCCTCCCCTGCACTGATAGCACTGCAGTACACTGTCGTCCTCAAGTTGGGGTGTATTCTAATAGGAAATAAAATATATCAATTTTGCGGCATGGAATATCCTATCTATCATTACACCTTTTAATCTTAATCTAGTGGTGCTAAAACATTTTGATATTCACTGTTAATGGTATGGAGAAATTAATCTGAATTGCGTTCAAGTCCCACTGAACTCACGGATTGTTGACAGGGTCAGCCATCCACTGGCTGTACCAGCCTTTAGTCAGATTCTGACACTCCATCACTCCAGTGCTACAGGCCATCCTAATGGCATTCACCTGGTTGTACCTGAGGGTAGGAAGATACAGTACAACTAAAGTAAGTGGATTGTTTTGGCTTTCAAGCAGTTAAGTAAGCCATAGTGCTGTGCAAAGGTAGACATAGCAGGTTAAAATTATTATAATGAAATATTATTGATAAACTCACTGGTCCATATGTCCAGTGGGTACTGTTTTCCAGTTGTCAGTGATACCCTTATAGTATGTAAAAAGTGGTTCAATTTTTTTTTTTAGGTAAGCCTAAAATACAGAAACAAACACAACTAAAGTGTTATTTCCAATATTTTTTTATTTCCTATACTATTTTTAAAAACATTTTTGTATTGTTTGCATATTGCCTTTCTAGAAAATAAACCAACCTGCATATCCTCATAGACTTCACTCCTATCAAATATGAGGTAGAAAAAGTCAAAGTTGTCGAGAGCTGACTCCCACGGCATATATTCCCTTTCTGTCATGAGATACTTCGTTGTTCGCATCATTCCATTTGTCTTGTCTTGTTTATATTACACACCTGGTTCTTATCCCCTCATTAGTCCGTGTATAAGTGTTCCCTCTGCCCCCCTTGTCCTTGTGGGTGATTGTTTAATTGTGAGAGTAGTGTAGCTCGGTGGAGCTACTCGTACCTTGTTATTTCCGGGGTAGATTTTCCCCTGTGCCTGTTTCGTTTGTCGCTATCCAGCGCTATTTGTGTACGATGGAATAAACTCTGCATTCGGTGATTACCCTCCTGCGCCTGATTCCTTCTATCACACTCATCACAATAATGCTCTTTGATAAGATTATCTTGGTAGTACTGTAATCCTTAGCTTGTGCTAATCTCCATTCATTAACTGTTTATTGCTTTAAATATACCACAATACATTTGACAGGTTTTCACATCATCAGTGATCCTAATACATGTACACCACATGACCAAAAGTATGTGGACACCTGCTCGTCGAACATCTCATTCCAAAATCATGGGCATTAATATGGAGTTGGTCCCCCCTTTGCTGCTATAACAGCCTCCACTCTTCTGGGAAGGCTTTCCACTAGATGTTGGAACATTGCTGCGGGGACTTGCTTCCGTTCAGCCACAAGAGCATTAGTGAGGTCGGGCAATGATGTTGGGCGATTAGGCCTGGCTTGCAGTCGGCGTTCCAATTCATCCCAAAGGTGTTCGATGGGGTTGAGCTCAGGGCTCTGTGCATGCCAGTCAAGTTCTCCCACACCGATCTCGAAAAACCATTTCTGTATAGACCTCGCTTTGTGCACGGGGGCATTGTCATGCTGAAACAAGAAAGGGCATTCCCCAAACTGTTGCCACAAAGTTGAAAGCACAGAATCGTCTAGAATGTGGGCCTCCCGAGTGGCGCAGTGGTCTAAGGCACTGCAGTGCTTGAGGCGTCACTACAGATCCGGGTTTGATCCCGGGCTGTGTTGCAGCCCGCCGCGACCGGGAGACCCATGAGGCGACGCATGGGATATCCTTGTCCCATCGCACTCTAACGACTCCTGTGGCGGGCCGGGCGCATGCACGCTGACACGGTCGCCAGTTGTACAGTGTTTCCTCCGACACATTGGTGCGGCTGGCTTCCAGGTTAAGTGGGCAGTGTGGCTTGGCAAGGTCGTATTTCGGAGGTCGCATGGCTCTCGACCTTCGCCTCTCCCGAGTCCGTACGGGAGTTGCAGCGATAGGACAAGACTGTAACTACCAATTGGATATCCCGAAATTGGGGAGAAAAAGGGCAACAAAAAAAAAAGAATAGTCTAGAATGTCATTGTATGCTGTAGCGTTAAGATTTCCCTTCACTGGAACTAAAGGGCCTAGCCTGAGCCTTGAAAACCAGCCCCAGACCATTATTCCTCCTCCACTAAACATTACGGTTGGCACTATGAATTGGGGCAGGTAGCGTTCTCCTGGCATCCGCCAAACCCAGATTTGTCCGTCGGACTGCCAGATGGTGAAGCATGATTCATCACTCCAGAGAACGCGTTTCCACTGCTCCAGAGTCCAATGGCGACAAGCTTTACACCACTCCAGCTGACGCTTGGCATTGCGCATGGTGATCTTAGGCTTGTGTGCGGCTGCTCAGCCATGGAAACCCATTTCATGACGCTCCCGACGAACAGTTCTTGTGCTGACGTTGCTTCCAGGGGCAGTTTGGAACTCGCTAGTGAGTGTTGCAACCAAGGACAGACGATTTTTACGTGCTACAGCACTCGGCGGTCCCGTTCTGTGAGCTTGTGTGGCCTACCAATTCACGGCTGAGCCGTTGTTGCTCCTAGACGTTTCCACTTCACAATAACAGCACTTATAGTTGACCGGGGCAGCTCTAGCAGGGCAAACATTTTACAAAATTGCTTATTGGAAAGGTGGAATCCTATGACAGTGCCACGTTGAAAGTCACTGAGCTCTTCAGTAAGGCCATTCTACTGCCAATGTTTGTCTATGGAGATGGCTGTGTGCTTGATTTTATACACCTGTCAGCAACTCCTTGTCCATCAGCGATGGCTTTTTTGCGGGCATAGATCCAGATCTGCAAACAATTTAGCAGCAGTGTACTTCTTACTGTATATCACAAACCTGATTATATCCACATAGACTTGTAATGAGGTCATTCCCGTTAGTATGACACAAGTACATTATGAGCTTTTTCCTTGAATGTGACAAATGACAAAAATTGTCTAAAACTTTGTTATTCTAAAGAATAGGTTAAAACAATTACCAGAACATTGTCTGCTGAGCTGTTAATATAGGCGTAGTCACTGACAATAAATGCCAACAAGTATGTTGACATTTTCTTAGTTTCATCGAAAGATGTCCTCCAAACATTCCCAGCCACCTCGGGCCCCACCTCAGTGACTGGAGCAGAAGCTGAGCAAGAGTAGAGTAAAAGAGGAGAACAGAGAAGAAGATGTTTTGATCAGTTGTAAGTACTGTATATATTAATACGTACAACTTAAATACAGTTGTAGGTATAAGATTTGAATGAAATACAGTATGTTCCATTTTGGATTGGTCATCAACAGAGAACCTGCATGTTTCCCATAAACTAAACATAATTTACAACAATCTGAGAGTGAGATGATACAGAGTGGTACAGTACATCACAGCTTCTAATTGCTTATGAGGATCTCAGCCATACAGGCCAAAGTGCGCTTTAATTTAAACATTCACAGTACTGACCATGCTCCATGCCGTTTGACAGGGCTACTGTATCAGGGGGGTGGAGGAGAGTGATGTGGAAGATGGCTTTCATTGCAGGCTCATCAAAACAGGGGAAGGCTTTTCTGGCATCTGTGGGCTGCATTTGAGTTGTTGCAACAACTCTGAGACAAACAGTACAATGGTTATCAATTGTTTTGAAAGAATCTCTCAAATGTAGGTGTAATCAAATATAAAATATTACATCTATCATGTCAATCTACATCACAGCATCACAGAGTTTAAGCAACTTACTTTTGTTCTCCATCCTCCATATATACACTCCTGTAAAAGCCTCCCATGTCATCAGCCAGCTCTCCAACAAACACTGTGTCCAGCTTGTAGTATTCTCCAACAGTTAACTTGCCATGCAGCTGCAACACTAGAAACTGGGTTGTTACTTTTAGCCAGGAAGCCTTAATGGCTGGTGCAGGTGTGCTACAGAGAGCAGTCAGTTTAGCCAGATGGTCATCATCCCACTTGGTGTAGTTCAGCTTGTTGGAGTGAATGAGGATCAGGTCTGTCTCCTTCACACGTTGGAAGACCACATAGGATTTCCCAGTGAAGATGTAGAGGCCTTGTGCGTTGACGGTGAGTCGAGGCCACAGGGTCAGGTTGTAGTGGTCAGGCTTCAGGGTGTCTGGGAGACGGTACTTGTCCCATGGTTCATTAGAGGGTGCAGTTGTGGGTATAACAGGTGTGTTGACCGGTGGCTTGACAGTGGAACCTCCATTAGTCGGACTGACAACCTCGTTGTTTTTAGCTACTTCTTGAGAATAAACGACCGCCAAAGCAATTATGGTGGCCACTGCCCCTGCACCAAACACAATGTCCACCACCCCAACAACCTTACTTACGTAGAAGCCTCCCCCCATGTCCAACTGGCGTAAAACAGAGCAAAGGAGATGTCTGTCTGTGGAGTTTTTTATATAGTGGTATAGTGGACTCTCCTCCCACCAGGACTAATGGCTCATCCATCAACACAACACAGCTCTGGTGGGCAGAGACATACAGTTGTCTTTAGGGGTCATAGCTCTAGGTTCATTCAATGTTATTTATTTAACCAGGATCCACTAACTAACAATTGCCACTGCTTCCCAGGAGGTTCTGAAGAAGGGGATGAAAAATAAAATGTAACGCTCATTTTGAGATGTCATATCCATACGGTGCCATAATTTAAGGTATAACAAAATATTACACACATTTATTGTAAATAAACCTCATATGACTGTGATATGTGGTTGTCTCACCTAGCTATCTTAAGATGAATGCACTAACTGTAAGTCACTCTGGATAAGAGTGTCTGCTAAATTACTAGAATGTACAAATGAAAAAAGAAAAAATCAAATTCATCATACACGGAAATTCAGTCTTTTAGATGTTTAAATCATATTCTTAGTGTTTAAATGTCTTTAGACATGCTTGCAGCTGGTTTCATTGTACAATCAAGCTACATTACCTCAGCAAATGAAGTCTTTACAACAGCTTTAATATAACTACATTTGCCTTGTATGAAGGCAGAATACAGAAAATAACTGTTAAAGGATAAATTGTTACTCATCACATGCACAACCACTAGTAAGAGAATTATCCTCACGTGCAAGGCCTCTGACAAATTTCATGACGTCAAGTATTCAGCATAAGCATTACAGAACGTCATACGCAATGAGTTGATTAGATAAAGAACGGAAAAATCTCAAGCGCTCAATCCTCAATAGGACTAGAGGAGACTGGGCTAATAGGATTGATATTGCTACTGCTAGTGATGGGAATTTGTTCAGTTTAATCTGTTCAACTGTGCAATCAAGACTCATAAGCACAGAAGAGGACTTTATTTTCTTATAAGATAGAAGGACAAATTAATCATTGTGTAATTAAACCAGCTCGAGGACAATCTGTACATCACATCTTTATGATGCACTATACGGTGCCTGATCTCACAATAGTTAGAGATAATAAAGCCAGGTTATACCGTTAAAATAGTTCAAAACACATGACCTTGTGTGATTCTTATCTCAAAATCGATTTGATAAACGGAATTTCCAAATGCTAAGAGATCAAGTAAAAAGCTTTGTCATTTTTCCAGAAAACAAAGAGAGTGAGAATGTGGTACATTGGAAGATGCTTACAAAGGGTGGATAGTATTTTCTTTGCTCGTTCTGATATTTTCTCAATTTCTTTCTTTATTCTCTTTTGGATTATGTGTATTGTTTTATATTGCTAGGTATTACTGCACTGTTGGAGCTAGAAACACAATAATTTTGCTGCACCTGCGATACCATCTGCAAATCTGTGTACGAGACCAATAAACTTTTATTTGATTTGATTTATGAGAGTTCTTTCCAGTGTGCACATTTAATCTAACTGCTCTCAACCTTTGATGTGTCCATATCTTCAAAGATAGATACCCATATAAGATTTGAAAGATGTGAAGACACATACAATATTAGACACTGATCTTACAAAATAAACAGAATGTCACGACTGTCTGTGAGATGCGGTAAACGAAGTCAGGCGCAGGACACAGAACTCTCGGATACGTACTTTTAATATGAAAAGGATCCAAAAGGACACAGAAAATAACTCCTTGCAGAGAGGAAATAACCCGCTCACAAAATAGACAACCGTGAAGGGGAAAACAATCACACACAAAATACAGATGAGAGACAGGGGTAATTATAAGGGAAACAATTAACATAATGACGAACAGGTGTAAACAATACAGACAAAACTAAACAAACACCGATAACATCGAACGGCAGTAGCTAGTACTCCGGGGACGACGAATGCCGAAGCCTGCCCGAGCAAGGAGGAGGAGCAGCCTCGGCAGAATCCGTGATAGTACCCCCCCTTGACGCACGGCTCCAGCCGTGCGCCGACCCCGGCCTCGGGGACGGCCAGGAGGACGCGGAGCAGGGTGAGTTGGGTGACTCCGGTGGAACTCTGTCAACAGGGAGGGATCTAGGATGTCCCTCCTAGGGACCCAGCACCGTTCCTCCGGACCGTACCCCTCCCACTCCACGAGATACTGCAGACCCCCCATCCGACGCCTCGAATCCACGATGGAACGGACTGAGTATGCCGGAGCCCCTTCGATGTCTAGTGGGGGCGGAGGGGCCTCTCGTACCTCATTCTCCTGGAGTGGACCAGCTACCACCGGCCTGAGGAGAGACACATGGAACGAGGGGTTAATGCGATAATAAACAGGCAGCTGTAACCTATAACATACCTCGTTCAATCTCCTCAGGACTTTAAATGGCCCCACAAACCGCCGGCCCAGCTTCCGGCAGGGCAGGTGAAGGGGCAGGTTTCTGGTCGAGAGCCAGACCCGATCTCCCGGTGCATAAACCAGACCCTCACTACGGTGGCGATCGGCGCTCGCCTTTTGCCATCTGATGGCCCGCTGCAGATGGACGTGCGCAGCGTTCCATGTCTCCTCCGAGCGCCGAAACCATTAATCCACCGCAGGAGCCTTGATCTGGCTCTGATGCCAGGGTGCCAGAACCGGCTGATAGCCCAACACACACTGGAAAGGAGTGAGATTAGTGGAGGAGTGGCGGAGTGAGTTTTGGGCTATCTCTGCCCAGGGAATGTACCCCGACCATTCCTCCTGCCGGTCCTGGCAGTAGGACCTCAGAAACCTACCCACATCTTGGTTTACTCTCTCCACCTGCCCACCACCGGTGCCACGAGACAAGACTCCGGTAGTATGGGAGTGGACTCAATGGACCTCTCCTCTGTGTCATATCGTCGGGACAGGGCGTCTGCCTTAACGTTCTGTGACCCGGGGATATACGTGATCTTAAAGACAAACCGGGCCAGAAACATGGCCCACCTAGCCTGACGAGGGTTCAGTCTCTTCGCTGCCCGGATGTACTCCAGGTTATGATGGTCAGTCAGAATGAGAAAAGGGTGGTTAGCCCCCTCAAGCCAATGTCTCCACACCTTCAGGGCCTGGACCACAGCTAGCAGCTCCCTGTCCCCCACGTCATAATTGCGCTCCGCCGGACTGAGCTTCTTAGAATAGAAAGCACAGGGGCGGAGTTTTGGAGACGTGCCCGAGCGCTGAGACAGTATAGCACCGATCCCCGCCTCGGACGCATCCACCTCGACTTGGAACGCCAAAGAGGGATCCGGATGTGCCAACACCGGAGCTGAGGTGAACAGGTCCTTCAAATGACTAAACGCCCTGTCCGCCTCAGCCGACCACTGCAAACGCACCGGGCCCCCCTTTAGCAGGGAGGTAATGGGAGCCGCTACCTGTCCAAAACCCTGGATAAACCTCTGGTAGTAATTGGCAAAACCCAAAAACCGCTGCACCTCCTTTACTGTAGTTGGAGTCTGCCAATTACGCACGGCTGAAACGCGGTCAATCTCCATCTCCACCCCTGACGCAGACAACCGGTGTCCCAGGAAGGAGATGGACTCCTGGAAAAACAGACATTTCTCTGCCTTCACATACAGATCATGCTCCAACAGTCTACCCAGCACCCAACGTACCAGGGACACATGCTCGGTACGTGTAGCGGAGTATATCAGAATGTCATCAATATACACCACTACCCCCTGTCCATGCAAATCCCGGAAAATCTCGTCTACAAATGATTGGAAGACTGAAGGAGCATTCATTAGACCGTATGGCATGACGAGGTACTCATAGTGACCCGAGGTGGTACTGAAGGCTGTTTTCCACTCATCTCCCTCCCGAATGCGCACCAGGTTGTAAGCGCTCCTGAGATCCAATTTTGTGAATAAGCGCGCCCCGTGTAATGACTCCGTCATACTAGCAATCAGAGGGAGAGGATAGCTGTATTTAATAGTGATCTGATTGAGACCACGGTAATCAATACACGGGCGTAAACCCCCATCCTTCTTCTTCACAAAAAAGAAACTTGAGGACGCAGGAGAAGTGGAAGGCCGTATGTATCCCTGTCTCAAGGATTCGGCGACGTATGTCTCCATAGCAGCCGTCTCCTCCTGAGACAGAGGATACACATGGCTGCGAGGGAGCACCGCGCCAACCTGGAGGTCTATCGCACAATCCCCCTGTCGATGAGGTGGTAATTGAGTCGCCTTCTTCTTACAGAAGGCGGTTGCCAAATCGGCATACTCAGGAGGAATGTGCATTGTGGGCATTTGGTTCGGACTCTCCACCGTCGTTGCCCATACGGAAACACCTACACACCGCCCCACACACTGATCAGACATCCCTTGAGAGCCCTCTGTTGCCATGAAATGTTGGGGTCATGAGATATTAACCAGGGAAGTCCCAACACCACTGGAAACGCAGGAGAGTCAATTAAATACAACTGTATAGTCTCCTCATGACCCTTCTGCGTTTTCATCTTCAGTGGCGCTGTGACCTCCCTAATCAATCCCGACCCCAAAGGCCGGCTATCTAGGGCATGGATAGGGAAGGGCACATCGACTGGTAATATAGGGATCCCTAACTTATATGAGAAATGGCGATCGATAAAATTCCCAGCTGCGCCTGAATCGACTAGCGCCTTATGCTGGGAGTAAGAAGAAACTTCTGGAAACATCACTTGGATACACATATGAACAGCAGAGAGCTCTGGGTGAGTTGGGACCTTACTCACCGGGAATGACTCATCAGTGCACTGCCTGCTGCCTCGAATCTGAGGAGACCCTCCCCAGCACCGAACCGCCATGTGTCCTCGGCGGCCACAGTTGGTGCAGGGGACAGCCTCCTTCCTGGCCTCCCTACTACCAGCACCCCCGAGCTCCATAGGGCTCGGCTCGGAGGTGCTGGGGGATGGAATGGACGGCCCCAGCGCTGGACGTTCACGGGTAGCCAACAGGGTATCCAAGCAAATCGACATGTCCACCAGCTGATCGAAGCTTAGGTTGGTGTCCCTGC